GTATTGTTTAGTTATTTGCGGGTAAGGCACTGGTTTAAAACATCTATGAAATGTTTATTTTCGAAAAGATTAAAAAAGTATCAAAACACAATTACAATACGTGCAATTAAACTTAATTTAAAACAATTATTTTGAAAGTCTTGCCCAAAACGGCTTTCAGGCTCGGTCCAGACGAGTGTCAATTACTGTCACGATAAACAGTAAACATAAAATGCAGTTTTCGCCATGGAAATTGTTATCCAAAAAATCCATCTTCTTTTATGGACTTGATGTAAATTGTAGTGGACTGAATAATACATTTAGGGTATGTTTTTTTGATAACATCGTTATGCGATATTGAATACGCTATTTACTTTTTTTTTTTTTTTCCTTTATGGCTCTGGCACGGTTTGTGCATTAGCCAGCGTCAAGTAGGTACGATTTACTTATTTAACAGTCTAGCAAGCTCATCTGTCAAAAAATATTCCGCTCTGTACTTTATAAGTTTATAAAATTCAACTCATCCTAAACAAAATTGAGCGTAAAACTCGTATTTATAATATTAAGTTATCAAAACGAAATATTCATAAAACCACAGACAAAAATAAACAATGGAATCTTGTCTCAGACTTGACTTACAATACAATATCCTAATTCCAAAGTGATGTCATTTTATTGCATTATAATTTGAATAAAAAGTACATGTTCAGTACGGATAATAAGATCGTGTTGGGCATGGTCATGAAAATTGTAGCTAGGTAAAAAACATTGTTGCTAAGCGATAAATGCCACAATGAGTTGGCAGTAACAAAACTTCATTGGACAATGCAGTAATGTGTCTGAATTTTGCTACACTACGCCATAATTACGAACATTTTTACACACTTATATAATAACGGTAGCGCAAATGTTATCTTAATTGCAATTTAAATTGGTCTCGTAATAATTTTATAAATTAATTTATAAAGTTTTTAAATTGGCGTCAATTGCCCGTCGAACGTATTAGCCGCGCAAAAACACCGATCACCACAGATAAAGTGTAATCGTGTGAGTGCGGCCGTAAATAAACACAGTTTATTGTCGGATTTTCAACAATTTTCGCGCTTTGCTTTTAATTTTACGGCACATTGTATCGGCTTCTTGATGGATCGTGATAAATTGAGATGTTGATCGTCATGCTTTATACCTGACATGACCGCGTGCGGCGTGACGCGTCACCGGCATACCACAGACTGCGGTTATGTTGCACTTTTGTTATAGATAAAAAATGACATTTATGTGAATGAGGACGCAATAATCACGACCGATTTTTTGTGCAAATTTTATTTGACAATAATAAATGATACTGTGATCGACGTCTGCTATTGTTTTCTTTTATTTTTAGAAAATTCTGGTTCGTTTGTATATTTCGATATTAATTATATGTGTTGTTTAATTTACAAAATAATGTGATACAGTCAGAAAATAGCATATTTTATTGCTATTTTCTTATCAACACACAGTGTAAAAATTTACACATACTATTCACACTTTACATTAAATATATATATATTTAAAAAATTCTATTTAAATATCTGAATTGTATTTACATTGTTGCAATGAGAAACTTTCCACAAATAAATTCTCAATTTATCATTATTAAAGCATCAATTTAACAAAATCTGTGCTGTCTAGCCAAAATGCATTTTGCAACAGGTAGGCGTACTCTATGACATATTTAACGAAATGCTAATAATAGATCGTTCTCGGAAATTAGTGTCTTGTCTTATATATCGCTATCACATTTGTATTAGCAATTATATTATACTAGTAGTTATATAAATGAGCAGGAGAATCACCGCCGCTTAGGAACACCACGACACAAGACAATAGTGCGTAATAACTTTCTGTCTCCAGCGGATAAAAACATAAATAAATCAGTGGCGCTACAGCCTCTTTACGTCTTGGCCTCAGATTTCTGAATCTGTTTCATGATCATTTTTAAATCTAATAGGCAAGTAGGCGATCATCCTCCAGTGCCTGACACGCGCCGTCGACTTTTTGGGTCTAAGACATGTCGGTTTCCTCACGATGTTTTCCTTCACCGTTCGAGCAAATGTTAAAGAAAGAAAGTCCATTGTTGCACAGCCGGGGATCGAACCTACCTTAGGTATGAGAGTCGCACGCTGAAGCCACTAGGCCAACACTGATCTAGGTCTACTGTATTCAGCGGATAACCTAACTTATAACAGCGCTATTTTTTATGTAACAATGGGCAAACGGGCAGGATGTTAAGTGCTAAGCCCATAGACACACTTTTCCAGAGTGCTCGGAAGTGCGTTGCCTTTTAATTGATACGCTCTTTTCTTAAAGGAAACTAAGTCAAATTGGTTCGGAAATACTTTTGCTGTATTAATACACAATATTTGACAATAAAAGATTTAACAATTAAAAGTGACGGTTATTTGCTTACTACTTGCGAAACATTCATTATTTCCCCGGGGATTTGAACTAAGGATGAAACGTATTACAGGTTCATAATTCTCAGTACTTGTTATACTTCTAATACTCACTGATGATCTTCTTGCATAAGAAAAGAGAACTAAATAATATATCGCTTGCAAACAAGACTTGCGATAATTCTGCCAAAGCATTACAATTACGTCAGAATATATAGATTGAATGGTCTGCAACTAAGACCACCGGAAATCCGTGACTGCGTCATTTTCCTTTTAACAATTTTGTATGGAAAATAACATTGTTTAAAGTTAAAAGTTTTAAAGATGTACGCCCTTCTGGCATTAAAGGCTTTTTATGTAACAACCGGGCAAGAGGTTCACGTGATGTTAAGACATAGACACTCACGTTGCTAGAGGACTCGCAAGTGCGTTGCCAGCCTTTGATTTGGCTATGCCTTTCTCGAAATCCTATCACAGTAGCTTTACACCCCTGTACATGACCCAAGGACCGAGTCGAGCGTCGCTCCTCGGTCCTCATAATCAAAATTCAAAACACCGGCTGCGCGTTGCGAGCGATCCATCTTTTTCCTCGCACGCTGCAGCCCTCATCAAGGGCTAAAAAGCCCGCACCCGAAGGGGGCATTCTCCCCGAACGAGCCTAAACTCTCCTCGTGAGGGAGGGTGCAACATGACAACGAATTGCTATAGGAGGTTATTCCGATTGAATTGAGGCGCTCCTAAAATAAAATGTCTGTAAATTACTTTATTAATAAGAATTTAAAACGAATAAATAGGTTTTTGTAAATTTCGAGCCGTGTTGGCCTAGTGGTTTCAGCGTGAGACTCTTATACCTGAAGTCGTAGGTTCGATCCCTGGCTGTGCAATGGACTTTCTTTCTATGTGCGAATATAACATTTGCTCGAACGGTGAAGGAAAACATCGTAAGGCAACCGACATGTCTTAGACCCAAAAAGACGACGGCGTGTGTCAGGCATTGGAGCCTGATCACCTACTTGCCTATTAGATTTAAAAATGATCATAAAACAGAACTCTGAGGCCAAGACCTAAAGAGGTTGTAGCGCCACTGATTTATTTATTTTTATTAGTAAATTTCTAAACATATTAATAACAATTAAAGCACGAAAAAGATACTTTTTGTCTTAGTTTACTCTACATTATAGTACATTTATTATTAGTTAGATTATATATTTTTTATATATATATGTAGCGTGGTTGGCATCGTTATTGCAAGTTACACAGTACCGGTGTAATATATATATATGTTTAATATAAAATTGTAATTTCATACATAGACGAAATCTTTCAACAGTATGTATTTTTAAATAAATCTTTCAAAAGATAGTCTTGATTTTTCATCATCATAAGAGGATTTTTTGGGAATTGTTCCTCCTTTGATTCGGACATATATTTGTATTACCAACTCTATATTTGGATTTTTAATAAGTTATGTATTTAGATTTACTTACTATGCAAATATTTGAATAATTCGTAGTTAACAGCGATAAATAAATCATAATAAAACTGGGTCAAATTTGAATTTTGGCCTAAGCCAGAAAGTGAACTACCTTGTACTTTGTATAGGTAATCGTTGGTTAGGCAAAACTGTTGGAATTTTAACTACTTGGGTCGAGATACGGAATAATTTGTTTGTCATCGAAAGGGAAAGGAATGTTTTAGCTATACAACCGATTTATCGGATAAAAACTGATTTAATAAATCGATTCATTTAACAGTCACTTAAAATAATTATTGCGCTGTTCTATTGCGTTGTTAAATCATTTTTTATAACAAATTTACTATAATTCATCGTTGGATAGATTAAAATATCTATTTTAAGATTTTATTTGCAATATTCACCCGAATTTTAATCTGGAAATGTTTGTGTAATTTTTTTAAACATGTCAATCAATAAACTTCAGACTTTAATGCGTGAAAACTTTATAAAATGTGATTTATAATATTAGTTTGAATTAAAAGCGGTTAGGGGTTAAATTGATGTTTTATTTATTTATATTATTATAACACTTTATAAATCAAAAACGATTAAAGCGCGAATAATATATTTTTGTCTTAGTTTAGATTATATTTTTATTTAATATCATTATATCAAACGAAATGCACAATTATATTTTTATGTGAACGAAAATTAAAAGCGTAGGTCCGTTTGAAAACATTGTTGGTATTTTTTCGACAACTTAATTTATGTAAAATGTATTAATTTAACGTCTGCTCTGCGTGTTGTATTTTAAACAGACGGCCAATTTACGCTCAGTTGATTCATTACATAATCGTATTGTTCACACTTATACATGTTTATTTAAATCGTAGACAAATCAGGAGAAATACCTGTTCGGATATATAAAAAAATCTGTTGCCAACCGCTTTTTATATACGATATTCAACTTTTTTGCACTTTAATAAGCGCCCTTGAAAAGACTTCAACGCTTAAGTAACGTTAAGTTCATTGATCTGCCTCTGGCGTTACGTAAGGAGATTATGAAATATAACATCTAATAAACGGTTTTTTATTTTTATCGTCTACGGATAAAGATGGACGTATGAATGGATGGCACGAGGTTTGGTGGCTGTTGGGGGTCGCGTCTGCAGCGCATTCTTGGGAGACGGAAGGCCGAGACGCGCGATGTTACGGTCGACGACTCCGGTGCACTTGCAGCGCTCACCTCAGTCCGCGACGATTCCCCGATAGGGCAACACCGGTGGTAAGAGGGCGCGCTCTGTCGCGCGGTGCTCAATATAAACGGCGCGCTTGTGTTAAACTTTTAAAACTTAATTAAATAAAAGCCAATATTTTATTAGTGTATAAAATCGTGCCCTTTAAAAAGCATACAGTATAAATCAGCTGAATCCGGCCGTTTTTGAACTGGCAAACGTAGCGGTGTGTGCGTCAGTGGCGCGTCGGAGCGCGCACGTGCGCAGTCCCGCGGCGGCCGGCGACCAGCGCAGAGCGCCGCACGCGCCGGCATGTGACGCGACCGGGAGCATGCGGCTGCCGCTGCTGCCGCTGCTTGTGCTGCCGCTCGTGCTTGCGCGCCCGGCAGCAGGTGAGAATATATTATATTACTTTCAAAAAAATTCTACACGTCCAGCCCTCGGAATAAAGGGACAAAAGTGTTTTCTTCCCTCAATGTTTGTTATCCCCTAACATGTCCAAATAAACAAAATATTACAAACCTTTTACTGCGTAGAATTTTCTGCGATTTTTTTTCTAAATTGACTGGATAAAAATCTAAAACGGCTTCCGCGCCCTTTTTAGCAATCTAGCAAAAATATCTAACTAAATTACTAATTATTCTTTAATATTGAATTAAGATTTTAATCACACAACCTCGATAACATCAGATCAAAAATTCATATTTAATTATTGACAAAGTACAAAAATACGTACAGGAATAAAAAAACTAATTACCAGTGTTTTAATATATAATGTATTTTTAATAAATCGAAAGTTACAATATTAGTGTCCAGTGGGGCTAGAAAATTGTATTTTCTTCTAAATTTTATAACGACGTATTGTATACATATTACGAAATAAAAATTGTTTCATATTTACAATACACGCAACAAATTTATCTACCCAATATGTATATATATAATATTTATATATATAATATGTATATTTATATATATAATATGTATATATATAATATAAACATTGATGGGTAAAAGATACTTAAATTTCTTGCTTTGCTATGAGTATAACGTATATTTTTAATTATTTCGATGCGGGCTCATACGGTCACAATCATATAACTCTTAAATACGAAACAAATTATAGACCAAAAAATTAACCAAGCGGTTTTGGCATTTTAAAGCGACGGTAAAATTTACACGAGACAATTTGCGTTTAACACAATAAAACGCATTTTTTATGCATAAGTTATTGTCGCTTTATTAAAACTATTAATTTAATATCTAAATAAACATAGGTTTTCTAAATATAATTTAAGCCGACTCTGCACTGAACAAAATATTTGGCAGCGAGGGGTTTTCCCAAACATTATTGTTGTGAATTCGTTAACTTTATTATAGATTAATGAATTGCTTTTTTTTTGGGACAATACATTAATAAAATAACTTTATTATTTACGCTATTTTTTGTAGAAAGATTTTTATGAGGAAACTGAAATTACAGATTCAATCTAAGACAGAGTATTGCATACAAATTATTATAATTAATAAAATCTTTTTCCTTAATCTCATCGCTAAATAAAAGTATTATTTACATAATTATCAACTATGAATTGCTATTGCAGGAAATGAAAACTATGATTATATGAGTCATAATAATTTCTTGGAATATCGTTATCATATTTATATATTTCATGCTTTTCATATTAAATATTTATAGGAAATAGTATTTAAATCATTATAATAATAAATAAATAAAAAAGACTGAGTTACATAGTAAATAACGGTGAGTTTAATTTTGATTCTCACACCACATTCGCGTTTGGTAGAGAACAAAATAACAATTAAATATGTTTATATCATTCAATTCTTTTCAGTTAATGAGTCTTAACTAAGACCTAATAAACGCGCTTGTAACAATCAGGAGTATTGTGTTTGTATTAAGGCAGACTTCCTTTTATATAAGTAATCTTTGCTCGTACGAAAAATATCGTAAGATAACCTGCATATTTTAGACTCGAAAGTAGATCGATCAATAAAATACATTCAAGAAATCGGAGGTCATATAAAGTTAAAAATAATTTATTCATATAGGTAACGCAATGTACACTTATGAACGTCAAAAAAAAGAAAATATATATAAATGAAATGCTTCTAATTTTACATTACTGCAGAGAAAAACTGGCAAAATATTATCTAATATATAAAATTCTCGTGTTACAATGTTCGTTCCCATACTCCTCCAAAACCGCTCGACCAATTCTTATGAATTTTTATGCATATTCAGTAAGTCAGAGAATCGGCAGAATCTTTCAAGCCTCTAAGTGATAAGGGGTGACCACCCCAACATTTTTAATTTTATTTTTTGGTTAATTTTTTTGTTTGTATATGTGTCATTAAATAATACATGCAACCCTTAATTTTCAACACTCTACGATCGACCTCTATTTTTATTATAGTAGATAGTTATTTTTATTAAACTAAAAAAGTTTCCTAGAAATAATATACAACATACATAGCAAAACAACGTTTGCCGGGTCAGCTAGTATATTATATACTTAAAATAGGAATGTACCTATGTGGAAGAGGAGAATCGGCACCTCAACCCCGGAGTACAAGGTGCCATGGTATTAAAAAAATCGGTATTAATTATAATCAAAAACAAAATCCGTTCTAATTACGTTTATACATATTATTGAATGAAATTTACGTAAAGCAGCTCCCACGTAATTAAAGTCGTAAACTAGTCGTTCCAAATACAATCAATATTTTAAATAGTTTTCCCTTAAAAGCGTGAATGTTTGAGTAAAATTAGTGGTAGTTAGCGCCTATATGAGTGTATTAAAGTTAGGTAAATAGCTCGGCGGCGACTGTCTGCAAAACATCCGTTAGAGTGGCCAGACCGACGCTTACACTATTTCACTTTGATTGTCCAGTTTATAAGTACTCGTAAATCTATAGGAATACAATACGGCAAATAGAGTTAGTCAAACTACTGGTTAGTATTACAAAAAATATTTGTGTCCATTCCGCGAATAAATAAAACATGTTAAAACGGGATTAATTTAAATATCTCCGCTACCTGCAGCAAATATAAAAATACGTGTACAAAGTAAAATAAAAACTATATAAAGCTATTTAGAACGTTTTGTTGGCTGCGATAACTGCCCTTAAAAATAATAACTGAAATACGAATCAGAAAATGGACCTTAATGTGAACTTGACTTAATGTCTTATAACCACTAGATGGGGCAGAGGCCAGAGGCGTCCACAGTGAGTCTCCATCGCGTTCGGTCTTCGCGAGCCTCGTATCGCCTCGCTCCAAGTCTTTCCGGCTCTCTTTGCCTCATCTGCAACTGCACGGCAGATTCGTCTGGGACGGCCAAGCTTCCGCTTTCCTTGCGGGTTCCAATCAAGCAACTTGGGAATATGATTGGGATCCCTTCGGAGTGTATGGCCTATCCATTTACGTCGCTTGATCTGTTAGAGATCTTCTCGGGCCGGTAGATGCCCAGAATACGTGAAAACGAATGTGAACTTGCGTAAACAATAATAATAATAATAATTTATTGCAAGAATATGTTACAAAAATGTGTAAGGTGGTACAATCGTAAGTTCGCATATTCTGCCACACACAATGGCGCGCAAATTTGTCTTTAGAGGAATTTTAAATTTTACATTATTAGTCATACGAATTGGTCAATTCTTATATTATTTGTATCATACGTTATTAAATTTATATCAACTACAGTGTCTCACGCAAATAATCATTCATTGAATAATACATTGTTTTCCAAAAGTAATACATCAAGTCGATTTTAAATAACTCTAGTCGGAAGATCTTTTAATTCTTTTGGTAAATTATTGTAAGCCTTGATTGCTATAGAAAAGGTGTAATAATAATATTTTATAATAAAATATCATTGTAATTATTTATTAAAAAACGCCAAAATTTTTCTTGTAATTGCACTACTGCAGTAGCAAAAAACTAAACGGAAGCAAGTAATACATGAGGTCATTCAGTACGGGCGGTATTTAATTATTAAATACACAATTTTCTTACGATATTGCTTCGCTTATTTTACCTACTATTAAGCTTGATATACTTATACCGATACACCTTTAGGTCTGGGCCTCAGACTTCTGTATTTGTTCCGTGATCATTTCTAATAGGCAAATAGGTGACTGACGATGTTTTACTTCACCATACGACAGTTAAAACTCGGGGATCGAACTTACGACTCAAGGGATGAGAGTGACACGTTGAAACCACTAGGCCAACACTCCATAAATAATAATATATATAAGGTTGATAATTATGACATTACGTGTGGAATATACGCGCTAAAAACAATTCCACAAATACATTCTGGTCGTATTATAAATCAAAATTTAGTAGTTTATGTCGGACTTGCATTTCAGAATTTCTTATTCAAACGATTTCCAATTCACGATGGCGATTGGCCATTTCGATGCAAAATTGTATTGTTATCAATCGGGCATTTGCATGTGTAAATAAATATCGAAAAGCTGGGTCGCCCGGTTGTCCGGCGCCGAGACAATGTTTCAAGACGAGCGTGTCACCTGCGGGCTAGTGAGGTGCCGTAAAATGTCGATAACCTACATTACAATTAATTTAAAACTTTAATATTCTAAGCAAAATAATTTTGTAGTAACGTCGGCACTTTGTTAGAGGCAAATAATTAGAAATCGGTGCCGTTGCGAGCCGCTCTGCAGTTTAGCTATACACATTATTTAACCAGTTTATCACATCCTGTGCTCTAATGGTCCCAAGGAATGCCAAGGCATCCTATGACAGTTGTATATAGTACTACTTATATAGCTCAGACATACGTTACAATACAAATTGTACTATATGTATACTACGCCGCTAACGGGTTTATTGCTTTGGAATGAACGCGGCCGTCTGCATGCCAAACGGCGATTCCTGGTCTTTTGAATTATGCGCATGGGCACACTACGTCTGCATTCAATCACCTCCGAGATTTATGTGCAGACGCGTGCAAATAATTCCGTGAAATTTGTTTACTATTATATATATATTCTCAAAACAAGACCTGATTGGCTCAGTTTCTTATAGTTTTTGAACTTATTAACTTACCCTAGTCTTGTACCTACCATTATAACTTCTCTCTCTTTCTGTCAAATTGTCATCTCCCTGTGATGGAAAGAGACAATTATGCGCTTTAGTGAATATTATCCCAATGATTGGAATTTTTCATCAAACGTATAAGTTACCTAAGAAGCCTTAATAGGTTTAACAACAACGTATTTATACACGACTTAATAAATCTGATATATTATGTATTAGCTTGTTATTTACGTTAAATGTAATGTATAAATTAATAATTAAATACCATTTAATACGGCAACTAATGACATAATTGCGCTGTCAATATATCGCTACAATTAAATAATTATGTCTCGGTCGCTGCAACGTTCAATTTGGCTATTTCAATTACTCCGTACATGTACCAATTTTATCGTTTATAC